ATACTAGAATTATGGACTGGTATACTGGTGAAGAGTCATCTGGTCATTGTCATTATACTAGAATTATGGACTGGTATACTGGTGAAGAGTCTCTGGTCATTGTCATTATACTAGAATTATGGACTGGTATACTGGTGAAGAGTCATCTGGTCATTGTCATTATACTAGAATTATGGACTGGTATACTGGTGAAGAGTCATCTGGTCATTGTCATTATACTAGAATTATGGACTGGTATACTGGTGAAGAGTCATCTGGTCATTGTCATTATACTAGAATTATGGACTGGTATACTGGTGGAGTCATCTGGTCATTGTCATTATACTAGAATTATGGACTGGTATACTGGTGAAGAGTCATCTGGTCATTGTCATTATACTAGAATTATGGACTGGTATACTGGTGAAGAGTCATCTGGTCATTGTCATTATACTAGAATTATGGACTGGTATACTGGTGAAGAGTCATCTGGTCATTGTCATTATACTAGAATTATGGACTGGTATACTGGTGGGGAGTCATCTGGTCATTGTCATCATACTAGAATTATGGACTGGTATACTGGTGAAGAGTCATCTGGTCATTGTCATTATACTAGAATTATGGACTGGTATACTGGTGAAGAGTCTCTGGTCATTGTCATTATACTAGAATTATGGACTGGTATACTGGTGAAGAGTCATCTGGTCATTGTCATTATACTAGAATTATGGACTGGTGAAGAGTCATCTGGTCATTGTCATTATACTAGAATTATGGACTGGTATACTGGTGGAGTCATCTGGTCATTGTCATTATACTAGAATTATGGACTGGTATACTGGTGAAGAGTCATCTGGTCATTGTCATTATACTAGAATTATGGACTGGTATACTGGTGAAGAGTCATCTGGTCATTGTCATTATACTAGAATTATGGACTGGTATACTGGTGGGGAGTCATCTGGTCATTGTCATTATACTAGAATTATGGACTGGTATACTGGTGGGGAGTCATCTGGTCATTGTCATTATACTAGAATTATGGACTGGTATACTGGTGGAGTCATCTGGTCATTGTCATTATACTAGAATTATGGACTGGTATACTGGTGGGGAGTCATCTGGTCATTGTCATCATACTAGAATTATGGACTGGTATACTGGTGAAGAGTCATCTGGTCATTGTCATCATACTAGAATTATGGACTGGTATACTGGTGAAGAGTCATCTGGTCATTGTCATCATACTAGAATTATGGACTGGTATACTGGTGAAGAGTCAACTGGTCATTGTCATTATACTAGAATTATGGACTGGTATACTGGTGGGGAGTCATCTGGTCATTGTCATTATACTAGAATTATGGACTGGTATACTGGTGAAGAGTCATCTGGTCATTGTCATTATACTAGAATTATGGACTGGTATACTGGTGGAGAGTCATCTGGTCATTGTCATTATACTAGAATTATGGACTGGTATACTGGTGGGGAGTCATCTGGTCATTGTCATCATACTAGAATTATGGACTGGTATACTGGTGAAGAGTCATCTGGTCATTGTCATTATACTAGAATTATGGACTGGTATACTGGTGGGGAGTCATCTGGTCATTGTCATTATACTAGAATTATGGACTGGTATACTGGTGAAGAGTCATCTGGTCATTGTCATCATACTAGAATTATGGACTGGTATACTGGTGAAGAGTCATCTGGTCATTGTCATTATACTAGAATTATGGACTGGTATACTGGTGGGGAGTCATCTGGTCATTGTCATCATACTAGAATTATGGACTGGTATACTGGTGGGGAGTCATCTGGTCATTGTCATCATACTAGAATTATGGACTGGTATACTGGTGGTGAGTCATCTGGTCACTGTCATTATACTAGAATTATGGACTGGTATACTGGTGGGGAGTCATCTGGTCATTGTCATTATACTAGAATTATGGACTGGTATACTGGTGGAGTCATCTGGTCATTGTCATTATACTAGAATTATGGACTGGTATACTGGTGGTGAGTCATCTGGTCATTGTCATTATACTAGAATTATGGACTGGTATACTGGTGGGGAGTCATCTGGTCATTGTCATTATACTAGAATTATGGACTGGTATACTGGTGAAGAGTCATCTGGTCATTGTCATTATACTAGAATTATGGACTGGTATACTGGTGGTGAGTCATCTGGTCATTGTCATCATACTAGAATTATGGACTGGTATACTGGTGGGGAGTCATCTGGTCATTGTCATCATACTAGAATTATGGACTGGTATACTGGTGGTGAGTCATCTGGTCATTGTCATTATACTAGAATTATGGACTGGTATACTGGTGGGGAGTCATCTGGTCATTGTCATCATACTAGAATTATGGACTGGTATACTGGTGAAGAGTCATCTGGTCATTGTCATTATACTAGAATTATGGACTGGTATACTGGTGGGGAGTCATCTGGTCATTGTCATTATACTAGAATTATGGACTGGTATACTGGTGAAGAGTCATCTGGTCATTGTCATTATACTAGAATTATGGACTGGTATACTGGTGGGGAGTCATCTGGTCATTGTCATTATAATAGAATTATGGACTGGTATACTGGTGGGGAGTCATCTGGTCATTGTCATTATATCAGAATTATGGACTGGTATACTGGTGGGGAGTCATCTGGTCATTGTCATTATACTAGAATTATGGACTGGTATACTGGTGGGGAGTCATCTGGTCATTGTCATTATACTAGAATTATGGACTAGTATACTGGTGAAGAGTCATCTGGTCATTGTCATTATACTAGAATTATGGACTGGTATACTGGTGGAGTCATCTGGTCATTGTCATTATACTAGAATTATGGACTGGTATACTGGTGAAGAGTCTCTGGTCATTGTCATTATACTAGAATTATGGACTGGTATACTGGTGAAGAGTCATCTGGTCATTGTCATTATACTAGAATTATGGACTGGTATACTGGTGGGGAGTCATCTGGTCATTGTCATTATACTAGAATTATGGACTGGTATACTGGTGGGGAGTCATCTGGTCATTGTCATTATACTAGAATTATGGACTGGTATACTGGTGGTGAGTCATCTGGTCATTGTCATTATACTAGAATTATGGACTGGTATACTGGTGGGGAGTCATCTGGTCATTGTCATTATACTAGAATTATTGACTGGTATACTGGTGGGGAGTCATCTGGTCATTGTCATTATACTAGAATTATGGACTGGTATACTGGTGGAGTCATCTGGTCATTGTCATTATACTAGAATTATGGACTGGTATACTGGTGAAGAGTCATCTGGTCATTGTCATTATACTAGAATTATGGACTGGTATACTGGTGAAGAGTCATCTGGTCATTGTCATTATACTAGAATTATGGACTGGTATACTGGTGGGGAGTCATCTGGTCATTGTCATTATACTAGAATTATGGACTGGTATACTGGTGGGGAGTCATCTGGTCATTGTCATTATACTAGAATTATGGACTGGTATACTGGTGGGGAGTCATCTGGTCATTGTCATTATACTAGAATTATGGACTGGTATACTGGTGGGGAGTCATCTGGTCATTGTCATTATAATAGAATTATGGACTGGTATACTGGTGAAGTCATCTGGTCATTGTCATTATACTAGAATTATGGACTGGTATACTGGTGAAGTCATCTGGTCATTGTCATTATACTAGAATTATGGACTGGTATACTGGTGGAGTCATCTGGTCATTGTCATTATATCAGAATTATGGACTGGTATACTGGTGGTGAGTCATCTGGTCATTGTCATCATACTAGAATTATGGACTGGTATACTGGTGAAGAGTCATCTGGTCATTGTCATCATACTAGAATTATGGACTGGTATACTGGTGAAGAGTCATCTGGTCATTGTCATCATACTAGAATTATGGACTGGTATACTGGTGAAGAGTCATCTGGTCATTGTCATTATACTAGAATTATGGACTGGTATACTGGTGAAGAGTCATCTGGTCATTGTCATTATACTAGAATTATGGACTGGTATACTGGTGGGGAGTCATCTGGTCATTGTCATTATACTAGAATTATGGACTGGTATACTGGTGGAGAGTCATCTGGTCATTGTCATTATACTAGAATTATGGACTGGTATACTGGTGGGGAGTCATCTGGTCATTGTCATTATACTAGAATTATGGACTGGTATACTGGTGGGGAGTCATCTGGTCATTGTCATTATACTAGAATTATGGACTGGTATACTGGTGGGGAGTCATCTGGTCATTGTCATTATAATAGAATTATGGACTGGTATACTGGTGGGGAGTCATCTGGTCATTGTCATTATACTAGAATTATGGACTGGTATACTGGTGGAGTCATCTGGTCATTGTCATTATACTAGAATTATGGACTGGTATACTGGTGGGGAGTCATCTGGTCATTGTCATTATACTAGAATTATGGACTGGTATACTGGTGGAGTCATCTGGTCATTGTCATTATACTAGAATTATGGACTGGTATACTGGTGAAGAGTCATCTGGTCATTGTCATTATACTAGAATTATGGACTGGTATACTGGTGGAGTCATCTGGTCATTGTCATTATACTAGAATTATGGACTGGTACACTGGTGAAGAGTCATCTGGTCATTGTCATTATACTAGAATTATGGACTGGTATACTGGTGGAGTCATCTGGTCATTGTCATTATACTAGAATTATGGACTGGTATACTGGCAGACACCGCCATCAGACCAGGATCTATTCTGCCGTCCGTAGTACAGTGCGACCAAAGACCGTCTCCTCTGGAGCCCCAACATCCACCTGGTAGAACCTTGTGAATGTACGCTGAGAAGACCAGGTGGCCGCCTTGCAAACCTGAGCCCCCGACTCCTGATGAGGAATTGCCAAAGAGATGCCCACATCAGTCACGGGGAAGAATGTCCCTTACATTGGTGATCAGTGGGAAGAATGTCCCTTACATTGGTGATCAGTGGGAAGAATGTCCCTTACATTGGGGGTCAGTGGGAAGAATGTCCCTTACATTGGGGGGTCAGTGGGAAGAATGTCCCTTACATTGGGGATCAGTGGGAAGAATGTCCCTTACATTGGTGATCAGTGGGAAGAATGTCCCTTACATTGGGGGTCAGTGGGAAGAATGTCCCTTACATTGGTGATCAGTGGGAAGAATGTCCCTTACATTGGGGGTCAGTGGGAAGAATGTCCCTTACATTGGGGGTCAGTGGGAAGAATGCTCCTTACATTGGGGGTCAGTGGGAAGAATGTCCCTTACATTGGTGGTCAGTGGGAAGAATGTCCCTTACATTGGGGGTCAGTGGGAAGAATGTCCCTTACATTGGTGATCAGTGGGAAGAATGTCCCTTACATTGGGGGGTCAGAGGGAAGAATGTCCCTTACATTGGGGGTCAGTGGGAAGAATGTCCCTTACATTGGGGGTCGGTGGGAAGAATGTCCCTTACATTGGGGGTCAGTGGGAAGAATGTCCCTTACATTGGGGGTCAGTGGGAAGAATGTCCCTTACATTGGTGGTCAGTGGGAAGAATGTCCCTTACATTGGGGGGTCAGTGGAAAGAATGTCCCTTACATTGGGGGTCAGTGGAACCGATTGCCTTCAGAAGTCCCCTCATTAGTACATAGCGCCCCCCCCCCCCCCCCCCCCCGTGTGTCATGTGATCTCAGTATAAATCCAGCTGTTCTGTGAAGCCCTCAGAGGTTTGTTAGAGAACATTTGTGACCAATCAGCATCATGAAGGCCAAGGAACACACCAGACAGGTCAGGGATAAAGTTGTGGAGAAGTGTAAAGCAGGGTCAGGTTATAAAGCAATCTCCCGAGCTTTGCCCATCTCACGGAGCACTGTGTTCAATCCATCATCCGAACATGGGAGGAGTACGGCACAACTGCCAACCTACCAAGACATGGCCGTCCACCTAAACTGACCGGCCCGGCAAGGAGAGCATTCATCAGAGAAGCAGCCAAGAGGCCCATGGGAACTGTGGAGGAGCTGCAGAGATCACAGCTCAGGGGGGGAATCTGTCCTCAGGAGGACTATTAGTCGTCCACAAATCTGCCTTTATGGAAGAGTGACAAGAAGAAGCCATTGTTGGAAGAAAGCCAGAAGAAGTCCCGTCTGCAGGTTGTGAGAAGCCATGTGGGGGGCACAGGAAACGTGGAAGAAGGGGCTCTGGTCAGAGGAGACCAACATGGACACCAAAACTAACACTGCCCATCCCCCTGAACACACCATCCCCACTGTGAAACATGGTGGTGGCATCATGTGGTGGGGATGCTTTTCTTCAGCAGGGACAGGGAAGCTGGTCAGAGTTGATGGGAAGATGGATGGAGCCAAATACAGAGACTGCAGAAGACCTGATCCCGGGGCGGAGGTTCCCCTTCCAGCAGGACAACAACCCGAAACCTCCAGCCATACAATGGCGCTGTATGTACCGATGAGCCCCCCCCCAGTACTGAGTCCCCCCTCCCCCTATGGACCCCCCCCCCCCCCGGGTGTATCAGGTCCGGTCAGTCGGGGTCTCCATGGATCAGACTCGTTCTGTCAGCACTTCCCACTGATGGTCCATTGGATGGAGATCTGGGTAATTTGGAGGCCAAGTCAACACTGTTCTTCCCCCATGGCTCAGCTCAGAGGTCCCCATTGTAGGGATTGCTGGGACCCCCCCGGCCGGTCTGCCGCCCTCAGCTTCATGGAGGACATGTTCTCTCCCCCGATATCAGATGAACGATCCCCCCTCACCTGTCCGGGTCACAATGGGGGTGCCGGGTGTATGAGGGGGAGGGGTGATGACGCCCCCCACACACCGAACCGAACACCGACCCTCTCCGGTACTCTCCCCCCCTCCCCACCGGACCGACACTCACCGTGACAGAAGGAGAAGAGCGGGCCGGTGTCGTACAGCGCCGAGTATCCGTCCTCCATACCGCCCGATCCTGGAATCCTCTCCCCGGTGCTCAGCAGATCCCGCCCCCTCCGCACACCCCCTCTGTTACCATGACAACCACCAGACCGACTACCGCCCGCCACCGGAGACACTGACACCACATCACGGCCCCGCCCCCTGCCCAGCTCAAGCACCGCCCCCCGCCCAGGAGAGGGAGACGATTCACCCTACCCCGCCCCCCGAGTGACTACAAACCCCTCCCCCTGCCCGCCCCTCATTGCCGAACTATAATACCCGATTATTACTACTACCACCCGGTACTACCACCCCCAACATTACCACCCAATATTACCACCCCGGTACTACCACCCCCAACATTACCACCCCAACATTACCACCCCAATATTACCACCCCCAACAAAAAAAACCACCCCAACATTAACCACCCCAGTACTACCACCCCAAAACAACCACCCCAATATTACCACCCCGGTACTACCACACCCCCCAACATTACCACCCCAACATTACCACCCCAATGTTACCACCCCCAACATTACCACCCCAACATTACCACCCCAAAAAACTACCACCCCCAACATTACCACCCGGTACTACCACCCCCAATATTACCACCCCAGTACTACCACCCAAAAAACTACCACCCCCCCCAACATTACCACCCCAATATTACCACCCAAGTACTACCAAAACATTACCACCCCAATATTACCACCCCAAAACTACCACCCCCCAACATTACCACCTCAGTACTACCACCCCCAACAAAAACTACCCCAAATTACCACCCCAGTACTACCACCCCCAACATTACCACCCACAAACTACTACCAAAAAAACATTACCACCCGGTACTACCACCCCCCAACATTACCACCCCAAAAAAACCACCCCAGTAAAAACTACCACCCCCAACATTACCACCCCAAACTACCACCCACTACTACCACCCCCAACATTACCACCCGGTACTACCACCCCCAACATTACCACCCCCGGTACTAACAAAAAAACATTACCACCAAGTACTACCACAAACCACTACTACCAACCAGTACTACCACCCCCAACAATTACCACCCAGTAAAACCACCCCCAACATTACCACCCAAAAAAACTACCACCCCCAACATTACCACCCCAGTAATACCACCCCCAACATTACCAAAACTCAAAATTACCAAAACTACCACCCCCAACATTACCACCCCAGTACTACCACCCCCAAAATTACCACCCCAGTACTACCACCCAGTACTAAAAACCCCATAAACATTACCACCCCAATATTACCACCCCAACTACTACCACCCCCAACATTACCACCCCAGTACTAAAAACCCGGTACTACCACCCCCAACATTACACCCCAGTACTACCACCCCCAACAAAACACCACCCCAGTACTACCCACCCCCAACATTACCACCCCAATATTACCACCCCAGTAACTACCACCCCCAACATTACCAAAAAAGTACTACCACCCCGGTACAACACCCCCAACATTACCACCCCCAACATTACCACCCCAGTACTACCACCCCCAACAAACCACCCCAAATAAAACCACCCCCAACATTACCACCCCAAAAAAAAATTACCACCCCAGTACTACCACCCCCAACATTACCACCCCAGTACTACCACCCCCCAGTACTACCACCCAAGTACTACCACCCCCAACATTACCACCCGGTACTACCACCCCCAACAAAACCACCCCAATACTACCACCCCCAATATTACCACCCCCAAAAAAACCACCCCCAACATTACCACCCGGTACTACCACCCCCCAAAATTACCACCCCAACTACCACCCAAGTAAAAAAAAAAAAAAAACATAACCACCCCAAAAAACCACCCAAGTAACTACCACCCCCAACATTACCACCCCAATATTACCACCCCCAGTACTACCACCCCCAAAAATACCACCCCAAATTACCACCCCAGTAAAACCAAAAAACATTACCACCCCCAGCTACCACCCCCAACATTACCACCCGGTACTACCACCCCCCAACATTACCAAAAAAAAACAACCACCCCCCCAACATTACCACCCCCAATATTAAAAAAAAAAAAGTACTACCAAAAAAAACATTACCACCCCAGTACTACCACCCCACTACCACCCCCAACATTACCACCCGGTACTACCATCCCAACATTACCACCCGGTACTACCACCCCAACATTACCACCCGGTACTACCAAAAAAAAAAAACCACCCCAATATTACCACCCCCAGTACTACCACCCCCAACATTACCACCCCAGTACTACCAAAAAAAAACTACCAAAAAAAAAAACAAAAACCACCCGGTACTACCACACCACTAAAAACCAACCCCCAACATTACCACCCGGTACTACCACCCCCAAAATTACCAAACGGTACTAAACCACAAAACAAAAAACTACCAAAGTACTAAAACACCCCCAACATTACCAACCCAGTAATACCAAAACCCCAAAAAACCACCCGGTACTACCACACACCACAACAAAACCACCCAGTACTACCACCCCCAACATTACCACCCCAACATTACCACCCAACTACCACCCCCAAACATTACCACCCGGTACTACCACCCCCCAACATTACCACCCCAAACTACCACCCCCAACATTACCACCCCTGTACTACCATCCCAGTACTACCACCCCCAACATTACCACCCCAATATTACCTCCCCCAGTACTACCACCCCCCAACATTACCACCCCAGTACTACCACCCGGTACTACCACCCCCAACAATTACCAACCCCCAACATTACCACCCCAGTACTACCACCCCCAACATTACCACCCCAATATTACCACCCCCAAAAAAAACCACCCCCAACATTACCACCCCAGTACTACCACCCGGTACTACCACCCCCCCAACATTACCACCCCCAACATTACCACCCCAGTACTACCACCCCCAACATTACCACCCCAATATTACCACCCCAGTACTACCACCCCCAACATTACCACCCCAGTACTACCACCCCCAACATTACCACCCCAGTACTACCACCCGGTACTACCACCCCAAACATTACAACCCCAGTACTACCACCCCCAACATTACCACCCCAGTACTACCACCCCCAACATTACCACCCCAGTACTACCACCCCCAACATTACCACCACCAACATTACCACCCCAGTACTACCACCCCCAACATTACCACCCGGGTACTACCATCCAAATATTACCACCCAGTACTACCACCCCAATACTACCACCCGGTACTACCACCCCCCAACATTACTACCCGGTACTACCATCCCAACATTACCACCCGGTATTACCACCCCAATATTACCACCCGGTACTACCACCCCCAACATTACCACCCGGTACTACCACCCCCAACATTACCACCTAGTACTACCACCTCAATACTACAACCCAGTACTACCACCCCCAACATTATCACCCAGTACTACCACACAAATACTACCACCCAGTACTACCACCCCCAACATTACCACCCAGTACTACCACCCCCAACATTACCACCCAGTACTACCACCCCCAAACATTACCACCCGATACTACCATCGCCAACATTAACACCCGGTACTACCATCCCCAACATTACCAC